TTTGTAGCCGTATTTCTGTCAAAGAGTTAGGCATAAACTTTAAAGAATTGGTTGAAAGCAAAAGGCATTCATATAAAGACATAACTAGAGGTACATATGAAACATGTTTGAAATGCTTGACTTTTCTGAGCAATTAGGAGGTTGTTAGCTGTTTCCTTTTCCCACTTAAACTTTCAAATGATTAATGGGATTTGTTTAATTAAATGTTCCACATTTATGTGGAGTAGAGGCCCAGGGAGTGTTCTGAAAATAGTATCAATTGTTTTCTATTGATCTACAATATGCAGTATGGCTTGCTTATCCCAAGAGAAAAGGCATTCAGTTTTATATTAATAACTTTTTTCAAATTATTTAGCTGTTAGATCTAAAGTGAAAAATCTATTTAAAACATCCTCTGGACCTCCTGAAAAACTCCCTGTCATGAAATACTCCTTTAATGCATTCCAGAGGAAGAAGCTAGTTTTAAAAAGAGAAGCACACTTCTGTGGCTACCACAGTAGGTTGAAATGTGCCGAGGGGTAGCTGGGCTATTTTTAGCGAGTTCCAATGTATCCTGTGGTGGCTGATGTCCAATGATCCAAAATTAGTCATGGGATCTTGGCCACCACAATGTCTGGGACTCAGCCGATCAGCATGCTCAACATCTTTGAATGTCAGCCTAAATCTACCACTAGGATTGATTGCTTTGGTCAAACAATACATCATTCTTTGCAGAAAACAAAAGGATTACCTCTTCTTGTGAGCTAAAAGATCAGAAGCCTTGGAATTACGGGCTAGCAAGGTGGGTGCTGAATAAAATTGGGAACACTTTCAGGCTTTTTGTAAGATGACAGTCTCTTGGTGATGAAGACAGTGAAGTAGCTAAGAGGGACATTTTTACTTTATTCTATTGGTGGGGGCATGAAAAAGAACAGCTGAAATTTTTTTTCCCCCTCTTCTGCTTTGTTTACATAAAAAGAAGGTCAAAGGAGAAGGTTGATGTGGATCCTCAAGGCAGAAAAAGCTTGGTCTTTCATCTGTAGAAGAAAGGGGGGATACAGTTACCTTCTGGGAAAGGTCTCTTCTTACACATGGTGCCCCCAATCATTTTAGAGACAGATGACCTATTCACCTTGAAAAAATTAGATTTACGTTTCTCCGTGCCTAGAGAAATGCTTCCTTGTTAAATACCCACCCAGCATACATTTATCCTTTGCTGTGTTCATTGATTACTTTTTTTCCCAAAGGTTTTCCTGTTTGCTTGTAAAGTAATCCATAGTTGACAGAGGATGGGCTAATTTTTAATAGCTTTATTCTGACAAATCCTTTCTGTTGTCTTAATTTAAATTGACACGGCAAATGGGAGGTGGATTTGATTTGAAGGAAGGGAAATACACTTGGTTAGAGCATAGTCTCTTATGTGTTGACTATCGACTGCCTTCTAATTGATATAAGCGTTCCATAGGATTCCAGAATTTAGGGGACACAGTTGCAACCATCCTCTGCATCTCTTTGTCTGCGTGCAGGGCCTGTTTTGAACCCTCGTGGACAAATCATGATCTGTTATGTTCTTAAAGAGGGAGGTACCTTGCGGCTTCTGTTGTAACTTGGTCCATTGGTTTTCACTGTGGTCCAACTCCAGAGGAGCACTGGGTGAAGGGTGATATTTGATCATCTAGCAAGTGTTTACTAGAAACTTACTCTCTGTCCAACACCAGGCCTGCTCTGGGAATACAGTGAATGTAGGACAGAGAGGCTTTCTGTTCTCTTGGTCCTGGTTTTCCAGTTGGGTATTCCTTGCCCTGGCAAGGCTGCGGTTTTTATCCAGTGTTCTTCAAGAAAACTTGCAGAATGCTTCAGTTCAGTTCAGTTCAGTCACTCAGTTGTGTCTGACTCCTTGCAACCCTGTGAATCACAGCACGCCAGGCCTCCCTGTCCATCACCAACTCCCGGAGTTAACTCAAACTCATGTCCATCGAGTCCGTGATGCCATCCAGCCATCTCATCCTCTGTCGTCCCCTTCTCCTCCTGCCCCTGATCCCTCCCAGCGTCAGGGTCTTTTCCAATGAGTCAACTCTTCCCATGAGGTGGCCAGAGTATTGGAGTTTCAGCTTCAGCATCAGTCCTTCCAAAGAACACCCAGGACTGACCTCCTTTAGGATGGACTGGTTGAATCTCCTTGCAGTCCAAGGGACTCGCAAGAATCCTCTCCAACACCACAGTTCAAAAGCATCAATTTTTCGGCGCTCAGCTTTCTTCACAGTCCAACTCTCACATCCATACATGACCACTGGAAAAACCATAGCCTTGACTAGACAGACCTTTGTTGGCAAAGTCTTTCAGAATTTTCCACAGTGTATTGTGATCCACACAGTCAAAGGCTTTGGCATAGTCAATAAAGCAGAAATAGATGTTTTTCTGGAACTCTCTTGTTTTATCGATGATCCTGGATATGATTTGATCCAGGATGCTTCAAATGCCATTAAACTTTGAGGATTGCCTTGAACCTCTAGCCAGGATGGGGTGATTGTGGGTGGAAGACTTGGGCGTGGGAACATTTGGAACAGCGTGCTCTGGTCTCCACGCCCTGGCAGAGCTTCCTTCCTTACTGGGGCTAGAGAGACCTGAGGGGGTTTGGAGGATGCCCCACTAACACAAACACCTGATTGGTGCTCATTCCAGGCCCTGGGAGGACCCCCCACCCGGGGTGCAGAGCTGCACCCATCAGTGTACATGTAGCCCAGACACGTGCCTTCTGATGTTCTCGGGGAGCAGAGAGGGCCTGGCACCCAGAAATGCCTTCAGGAAGATTAAGGGAAAGATGGAACTGTCCACGGTCTTACCTTTAGGACCTTAGAGAAGTCTGCAGGCATCTCCGTGGGATGGCTCAGAGATCTTCCTCATCAGGGCTGGAGGTCGAATGATTAGCTCTGTGTTTGATTTGGATAAAGGGGGTTATGTCACTGGCTTCAAATGTGGGACAGATTTCTTGGTGGTTTTCTTAGAGACAGAAATCACATAATCCACCTTCATTGCAGGACTGTCATTTCCAGTGTCTAGTGTGGTCTGCAGTCGGGATAAGAAAGGAACCTGACCTTTCCTGAAATAGAAGAGCTTTGGGATGTGGAGAGGGCAGTTGGCCCTGGAGCAGAGTTAGATAACTAAGCTGCCTGAGACCCACTCCTGCCCAGCCTTCCCGGGGATGCTCACACCCTCTGCCTGTCTCTCTCTCTGATTTCCTAGCCCCTAAGCAGAGTGTCTAGGTTTTTGCAAACTCCTTCGAAGAGGGATCCCAGCCTGGTGGTCAAGATCCCTAGCCACTAGCCTTCCTCCCTGTATCCCGGGTGCCCCCTTCCTCTGATGGAGCCACCATCAGTGGTTCTCTGACGTCAGAATGCCAGTGACTATTTAAATCATTCAGGCTGTGTGTCAGCGTGCTCCATCCACCAGTTCTCATTGCAGAGGTGTTTGTGACCCAGGAGAATGAACTCACTCACTTTGTCTTCCTTTTGTCCTTTTACAGAAACCTGAAGGAGAAGCACCTTGTTTGGGGATAAATGTGGGCCAATATCTCAGAAATAAATAAAGAGACTATTATAAAGGAGCCCATTCCTTCCTGCCTCAGGATGCTGTTTGAGACTTAAAGCGTTTATCAGTGATGTGTGTTGTTTCCTTTTGGATGTTTCATTTGGATAAAGGTGTTGATGTTATAATTATCCATCAAATTATATGTAGCTGTGAAAGCCTCCAAAAGTATAAAAATGTAGCTGTTGGTCTAAATGGGAGTATCTGAGTGTCTTCGATGACACTGTGTGAGCATGACTTTTTATTTACACATGTGGTGGGGACTTCCCTGGTGGTCCAGTGATTAAGAATTTGTCTGCCAGTTCAGGGGACACAGGTTCGATCCCTGGTCTGGGAAGATCCCACATGTCGCAGAGCAACTACCGAGCCTGTCCCCTAGAGCCTGTGCTCTGCAACAGGAGAAGCCACCGCAATGAGAAGCTGCACACCACAGCTAGACAAAGCCAGAGGGCAGCAACCAAGACCCAGAGCAGCCAAAAATAATAAAGAAATTAAAAAGAAATCACACAGTCTGTCTTTCATGGTGTAGCCCAACACAGCAAAGGGTCACCAACTTGCTTTGGATATAATCTCCAGAAACAGTCTCATTTAAGAGAAGCACAAACTGGAATCGAGATTGCCAGGAGAAATATCAATAACCTCAGATACATAGATGACACCACCCTATGGCAGAANGAAGGAGGATGAGATGGTTGGATGCATCACTGACTCAATGGACATGAGTTTGAGTAAACTCCGGGAGTTGGTGATGGACAGGGAGGCCTGGCGTGTTGCAGCCCATGGGGTTGCAAAGAGTCGGACATGACTGAGCGACTGAACTGAACTGAAGAGAGCTAGAGAATATGGGGCTCCGGAACAGCAAGTGGGGCTCTGAGAAAAAGCCCCCAGCACGTCTCTCTGTCTGCCCCGCTAATCTTTTGACTTTGCCTTCTCCTTAGAGGTCACACTGGCCACCGAGCCTTTTGGAAACTATGTGGAGTCTGTTTGAACATGACACCTTTTAGGGTTTATGGTGGTTTAGTTTCAGATAAGTACTCTGAAGGCCACCCTTCCACATGATCCCAGGGAAAATATAAAACACTGAAAGTCTGGGTAGTGAAGTAGCAGAAAGAGAAGTTAGCCACACATCAGGTTGCCCCGAAAGAACTTTAAAACAATTAAAAAAATTTTTTTTTTGGACTTCACCGAGTAGCATGTGGGATCTTAGCTCCACAACCAGAGATCGAACTTGCATCCCTTGCATTGGAAGTGTGGCATCTTACCCCTGGACTGCAAAGGAAGACCCCGCAGAGAAAATTTGATTTCACAATCCCCCTGTCCTGCTTGCTGAAGAACTTTCAACAGAATGAATGAATAATTGAAAGTCAGGTTCAGAGTTACTTGCAAAGGTACCCATGGAATTTTATAAGAATGTGAATACCAAGAGGAGCCCGGGGTTTGAACACGAGTTAGCAATTTAATGTGAAAAAACAGTTCTGGCTCCAGGTCAGTAGATACCTTAATCACATTGGCAGAGGCCTGTATGTCAAAGTCTGAAACGTTCCTGGCATAAAGAGCTTGCATGTTTTATTTTGTTCTGATTGAAGTTTATTAGTGGTAGCTTTGGTTCCGTAGCTTCACTGTGCAATGAAGACCTCGGTCCTGAAGCCCTTGGGAGGAAACCCTTTTGCTGGTGGGGGAGCAGGCTGACACAGTGGGCCCTCTCAGCTGCCTCCCGGGGCTGGCCAAGTGGCTTCCTGACCTCTCAGTGAGGTGCTGACAAGCCTGGCCACCGGAGAGGACACGTGGGGATGTTTACTGCAGTGATACGGGTGGAGGCGATGTGAGGGAAGGCTGGCACCCCGACTCAGGCAGCTTCGCACCCAAGGCCTGGCTGCTGTCTCTGGATGGATCCTCAGGCCGTGATGTAGCTGACAGCTGGCTGTGCTTTCAAAACTGGAAGGCAGTCTGATGGCGAGAGCCAGAACCATCTGTGTAGAGCCCTACAACAAGCCTCAGAGCTCCAAACAGGCTGCCCTTCTGCCTCTTCCTGGATTTTCTGGAAACACCAAGACCTGCAAATATAATTGCCATATCTTACAAATTACCTAATGGCAACAACAGCAAAAATAAACCCGTGGGATTCCATCAAAGGCTTCTGCACAGCAAAGGAAACCATCAGCGAAATGAAACCTGTGGCCTGGGAGGAAATATACTTGCAAATCATGTATCTGATGAGGGGATAGTATCCAAAATATATAAAGAACACATGCAACTCAATAGCAAAAAGCCAAGTAATCCAACTTAAAAAAAGGATCCGAATAGATGTCTTTCTAAGGAAGACGTATAGATGGCCCATGTGAAAAGATGCTCAAGATCACTAACCATCAGGGAGATACAAATATAAATAAAAATGAGATCATACCTCACATCTGTTAAAATAACTAGTAGCAAAATGACAAGAAATAACAAGTGTTGGTGAGGATGTGGAGAAAAGGGAACTCTTGTGTAGGGTGTGGAAATTAGTGTGGCCATTATGAGAAATAGTATGGAGAGTCCTCAAAAAATTAAAACTAGAACATTTGATCTAGGTATCCCATTTCTGGGAATTTATCTGAGGGAAAGCAAAGCCCTAATTTGAATAGATACCTGCATCCCCACATTTATAGCAGCACTGTTTACAATAGCCAAGACCTGGAAACGACCTAAATGTTCATTGATGGATGAATGTGTAGAGAAGATATGGTGTACACACACACACACACACACACACACACACACACATTTTTCAGCCACAGAAAAGGAAATCCTGCCATTCATGACAACATGGATGGACCTTGAGGACATTATGCTAAGTGAAATAATTCAGATAAAGATATATATCAAATGATTCACTTATATGTGGATTCTTAAAACAGATCAGTTTCTTAGAACTGATCAGTTAAAACAAGATCAGTCCTGGGTGTTCATTGGAAGGGCTGATGTTGAAGCTGAAACTCCAATATGTTGGCCACCTGATGCGAAGAGCTGACTCATTGGAAAAGACCCTGATGCTGGGAAAGATTGAGGGCAGAAGGAGAAGGGGATGACAGAGGATGAGATGGCTGGATGGCATCACCTACTCTAGAGAATTCTAGAATTCTCTAGGCCAGAATACTGAAGTGGGTGACCTTTCTCTTCTCCAGGAGCTCTTCCCAACCCAGGGATAGAACCCAGGTCTCCCTCATTGCAGGCGGATTCTTTAAGAGCTGAGCCACAAGGGAAGCCCAAGAAGCTTAGCCTATTCCTTCTCCAGCGGATCTTCCCAACCCAGGAATCAAACCGGGGTCTCCTGCATTGCAGGCAGATTCTTTACCACCTGAGCTATCAGGGAAGCCCTATGACCTATTTGCTGTGTAGCAAATAGCCTGACCATTTGGAGACGTTGGTTGAGACAATACTTTGTTGTTCTCTTTCACAGTCCTTTGGGTGGGCTGGGTGTTTCTCCTGGGTCTCTACTGCAGTTGTGGTCATGTGGCCACTGGGGCGAGTGGTCCACCCTCATCAGAGACTTCACAGAGCAGGATGCTCCAGACGGCTTCACCTGGACACATGGCCTCCCTCATCTTACAGGAAGGCATGGGTTTCAAAAGGCAGAAAACCCAAGTTTCCAGGGCAGTTAGAGGTTGTGCCCAGAATCAAGTATTGAATATTCTCACTGTATTCTAATGCTCAGGGCAAGTCCTAGAGCTTGCCCAGATTAAGGGGGTTGGAGGCATAGAATGCTTACCGATGGGAAGGTGCCGAGGTTTTTGCAGAAGATGGTGTGTGTAAGGGAGGGTGTGCCGAGACCATCTGTGGAGAAGTGCCATCTGGCACTCCGTTCCTCATTATGTTCAGTGTATGAGAACCGACAAAGTACATGTGCAGTCATCTGCTTAAGTCAGTCATCCCCGAATTCGTTTCTGTAAAGACAGGATTGGAAAGCCAGCACACAGTCCTTCAGCAAATATGATATGCAGTGTCCAACTTGAAAATTACAAAATGGGTAATCCTTTTCACCAAAATGGACTTTTTTTTTAATTCCATGAGGAAGATCAGTTACAGGATTCCTTCAAGAATCAAGGTCTTCTAAAACTCTTCACTATCTGTTATGAGATGCAGTGATTATGAGAGTGGGTTTTGGATGAAGATGGCTGGGTTTGTAACTCAGTTCCGCTGCTAAGGAGCCAAGAGAACTCAAGGGATATACTTAACCCCTCCGTGCCTCAGTTTCCTCAAGTCATGTTTGGGTGTGAGATTTAGAGCATAAAGAAGGCTGAGCGCCCAAGTATTGATGCTTTCAAATTGTGGTGCTGGAGAAGACTCTTGAGAGTCCCTTGGACAGCAGGGAGATCAAACCAGTCAGTCCTAAAGGAAGTCAACTCTGAATATTCATTGGAAGGACTGACGCTAAAGCTGAAGTTCCAGTACTTTGGCCACCTGACATGAAGAGCCAACTCACTGGAAAAGACCCTGATGCTGGGGAAGATTGAAGGCAGGAGAAGGGGGCAGCAGAGGGTGAGATGGTTGGATGGCATCACTGACTCAATGGACATGAGTTTGGGAAAGCTCTGGGAGATAGTGAAGGACAGAGAAGCCTGGTGTGCCGCAGTCCATGGGGTTGCAAAGAGTCGGACACGACTTAGCAGCTGAACAACAACAAAATGACAAGAGTAGTTCTTACCTCCTAGGGACCTTTGTGAACATTCCTGACTGTTGATACAGGTGAATTGCCTGCTCCATAGTGAACACTCTTAATCTTAGTAGGTATTACTCTCGTGATGATTGGATGAATAGAAATTCTCTCGACAGGCCACGAGGTGGGTTAGCACCTTCCTCTGCTGAACAGCATGTCACGCTGTGCACTTGGTTCAGCCCCTCTGTTAGGTCAGCTGTGCAGGGAGTGCCCACATAGAGCGGAGGAAGGAAGGAAGGAGGAAGGTGGGAGGAAGAATGCGGAAATGGCCCGTACGAAAATAAAGATGGTTGGAGTGGAAATTGTTGCTGTACTCACCATCCAGAGCAGGTATCTTTGGACCTTAAGAAAAAAAATGAAGGAAAGATTGATGATGTCTTAGCCTTTTGCTCCAGTATCTTCTGCAGGTCGCTGCAGATCCTATCTGGGCCTCGTTCAGGCTCTGGAGGGTTCATCTGTGTGGACTGCATCACAAAGGCTGGCCAGCTCTCTGCTTCTGCCTGGCCTCCCCTGATGGGAGCCCTGGGGAAGTGGGGAAAAGGGGGCTTGTACCCTGAGAGGTCTCCATGAGCCGGCTGCAACTTTCCTTCTGCCCAAGGCCTCCGTGCCCATCAGGACCCCCCCATAACCCCTCTGGAGGGGTGGATCTTAGGACTGGGAAATGCTCCCTCCTGCCAGGACAGCAGGCCTGGGGATGGTAGCTGAGCCGGCTGTGACTGTCCTGACTCTGAACTATGCCTTTTCTTTCCCTCCCCAGCTTCTCAGGTGGGTGTCACTGCTACCCCAGTACCCTAGGTGGTGGTTGTTTAGTCATTAAGTCATGTCTGACTCTTTTGTGACCCCAGAGCCTGTAGCTCACCAGTCTCCTCTGTCCATGGGATTCTCCAGGCAAGAATACCGAAGTGGGTTCCCGTTTCATTCTCCAGGGGATCTTCCTGACCCAGGGATCGAACCTGGGTCTCCTGCATTGCAGGCAGATTCTTTACCACTGGGCTGCCAGCGAAGCCTGTATGTTGGTAGTCATCCGTTATCTATCATCACATGAAGCTCACGTGAAGTCACGTGAAACACTCGGGGTAAAGCAGATCATGTAACCAAAAATATGACTGTGCTCTGAAACAGCCCTGAGTCCTGGCCATTTAATCACCTGACTTGACCTGCCCCTGATGGGGCTGGAACCAAGGGCCTGGCCTGGCAGCCCGGAGCCCCGTGTCCTTCGGCCCCTGGTGGCTCTTGAGGAAGAAATCATCACCGTTAGGGATTCGCAACAGTTCCCTTAGAAATCAGGAGCAGTTGTGTTACACACCCAGCTCTCAAAGCTGGACGACTCTTATTTTCCAAGCTGAAGTCTTCTCTGGGCAGCGGACAGCTGGTTTGTGTAATGAATGGCACCCCTGTGTGCTGTGAATTAGTTCTGATAAAATCAGTAAACTGTTTTACCCTGGACAGTCCTCACAAATGGGGTCTAAGATACATTTAATTTCAGACACATAAACATGCAATAGCTGTTTACTTTCTGGCTCATACACACACATCCTACTTGGCTTTCTGGCTGAATCCTCAACTTCAGTGCCTGTTACTACCAGGGTTTAATGCGCTTTTGGGAAAGAGAGGGCTCTTCTGACTCAGACCGATTTCCCTCTTCCTTTCATCATTTTTATATCTTTGGGGAGCTTTGGGTAGCAAGAACTTTGCAATTCAATGTCCAGGAGAAGTACAGGCTTTGTAGCAGGTCGCTGTTGTTGTTTGGTTGCTCAGTTGTGCCTGACTCTTTGCAACCTCATGGACTGCAGCATACCAGGTTTCTCTGTCCTTCACTATCCCCCAGAGTTTGTTCAAATTCATATCCATTGAGTCAGTGATGCTGTCTAACCGTCTCATCCGCTGCTGCCCTGATGCTGGTAACTATTGAAGGCAAAAGGAGAAGAGGGCAGCATAGTATGAGAGGATAACAGGTCATATTTTAACAGGTCATATTTTGGATGAAATGTGTGGCTTATTAATGAGGAAGAAATTGCTCCTTTTCATTACTTTTCGATTTGATAACCCAAAGAGGTTCCCAGTTGTTTAAAATGCCCCATAATTCTTGAAAATATAATTACTGCAAACATTGGAATAATTATTCTTCATGATATAACCCTATAAAGGGCCAAAGGCTAGTTACTCCAAATAAGATAATGTTTGCTCTAGATTCAATTATTTCACATCTATAGATGTTACGTGATGTTACATTATGTTACGTTGTTTCCCTAACGTGAGGTATCATCTGTTTGTCCTGTGTCTCTGGATTCCTGCTTAAAGAAAACAGATACCGTTTCTCTGTCTGGCGTTCAGGGAATGTTGGCATCTCTGAAAACCTTACCAAGCCTGCCTCGTTCTGTTTGCACTTCGCCCCAGGGCGGGCTCGGCTGAGACAGTACCTGGAAGCCAGTGGAGGGGTATCTGTGGTTGTCCCAGTGACCGTGGGTGCCCCGGGTGTTTGGGCTCCTAGAGTCAGCACAGCCATTGTCATCTAGTGATGGCGTCCCTTGAAGAGTCCTTTCCCCTTCCGGTTCAGAATCCAGGTCTTTCTCAAGACCCAGCTCAAGGCTGGGCTCTCAGGGAACACGTTACATTCATCTTACCGTTCCTGAACTTCTGTCATCCTTGCTGTCTCTGCTGGTCGTTTCATCTGTTAGGTTAAGCAAACCTTCCAGACTTTTCTCCGAAAGGGGCAGTTGGCAAATGCTTTAGGTTTCGGGGACCGCATGATCTCTGTCATGACTGCTTGGTTGCGCTGCTGAAGCGTAAAAGCAGCCATTTTGCAGCAGCAAAGAAGTGGGCCTGGCTGGGTTTCAATAAAACTTTATACAAACAGACTGCATTTCAATAAAACCATAGAAACGGCTGTGGTTCACGTTTGATCCCAGGGCTACAATTTTGATTCCCGGCTTAAACCACTTTTTTTTCTGAGTTTGAGCCACTGGTTTCCCTGGTGGCTCAGATGGCAAAGCATCTGCCTGCAGTGTGGGAGACTTGGGTTTTATCCCTAGGTCGGGAAGACCCCCTGGAGAAGGAAATGGCAACCCACTCTGGTATTCTCGCCTGGGAAACCCCATGGACAGAGGAGCCTGGTGGGCTATAGTCCATGGGGTTGAAAATAGTTGGAGACGACTTAGCGGCTAACACTTGAACCATATGAAATAGCAATATTTGTAGTTCAGAAAGGGGCATCTGCTGGAAATTTCATAGGATTCAAGCTAATATATCATACACTTTGTTTAATGCCCCATAATTCTTGAAAATATAATTACTGCAAACATTGGAATAATTATTCTTCATGATATAACCCTATAAAGGGCCAAAGGCTAGTTACTCCAAATAAGATAATGTTTGCTCTAGATTCAATTATTTCACATCTATAGATGTTACGTGATGTTACGTTATGTTACATTGTTTCCCTAACGTGAGGTATCATACGTTTGTCCTGTGTCTCTGGATTCCTGCTTAAAGAAAACAGATACCGTTTCTCTGTCTGGCGTTCAGGGAATGTTGGCATCTCTGAAAACCTTACCAAGCCTGCCTCGTTCTGTTTGCACTTCGCCCCAGGGCGGGCTCGGCTGAGACAGTACCTGGAAGCCAGTGGAGGGGTATCTGTGGTTGTCCCAGTGACCGTGGGTGCCCCGGGTGTTTGGGCTCCTAGAGTCAGCACAGCCATTGTCATCTAGTGATGGCGTCCCTTGAAGAGTCCTTTCCCCTTCCGGTTCAGAATCCAGGTCTTTCTCAAGACCCAGCTCAAGGCTGGGCTCTCAGGGAACACGTTACATTCATCTTACCGTTCCTGAACTTCTGTCATCCTTGCTGTCTCTGCCGGTCGTTTCATCTGTTAGGTTAAGCAAACCTTCCAGACTTTTCTCCGAAAGGGCCAGTTGGCAAATGCTTTAGGTTTCGGGGACCGCATGATCTCTGTCATGACTGCTTGGTTGCGCTGCTGAAGCGTAAAAGCAGCCATTTTGCAGTAGCAAAGAAGTGGGCCTGGCTGGGTTTCAATAAAACTTTATACAAACAGACTGCTTTTCAATAAAACCATAGAAACAGGCTGTGGTTCACGTTTGATCCCAGGGCTACAATTTTGATTCCCGGCTTAAACCACTTTTTTTTCTGAGTTTGAGCCACTGGTTTCCCTGGTGGCTCAGATGGCAAAGCATCTGCCTGCAGTGTGGGAGACTTGGGTTTTATCCCTAGGTCGGGAAGACCCCCTGGAGAAGGAAATGGCAACCCACTCTGGTATTCTCGCCTGGGAAACCCCATGGACAGAGGAGCCTGGTGGGCTATAGTCCATGGGGTTGAAAATAGTTGGAGACGACTTAGCGGCTAACACTTGAACCATATGAAATAGCAATATTTGTAGTTCAGAAAGGGGCATCTGCTGGAAATTTCATAGGATTCAAGCTAATATATCATACACTTTGTTGTAAATCTCATTATCATTTGAATGTGTCATTTCTACTCCAAATACATCTGATTCTCTCTCAGTCTCCTAGGTTGTTGTCGTTTTTTTTTTTTTTTTGTCTCCCTAGTGTCCAATTCAAAGCCTGAACTATTTTGGTCATGCAACAAGTACATATTTAGTTCATGACTGAAATGCCAAAACCTAAATTCAAAATGCTTTCCCTGGAAGAAAATTGATAACTTATTAGATATTCTTTTGGTTACCCTCAAGTTTTTTATGTTTATAATTGCTTTGGTAATGTTTGAGATTTGTTAAGTCTTTATGCTACAACCAAAGGGATTTTCATAATCATTGTTACTGTCTGCTTATTTTCTAGTGTGACCACACCGCACTTGATGGCTTACAACACGAGAAATCCATTCTCTCACAGATTTGGGGCTGGACATCTGAGATCAGATATCAGCCGGCTTGGTTCCTTCTGAGGCTTCAGTGGAGAATCTGGCTCACGCATCCTTCCTAGCTTCCTGGCCCTGATTCCTTGCAGTCCTTGCTGTGTCTCAGCTAGTGGACCCATTTCCCTAAGCCCTTCCTCAGTCGTCACATGGCATTCACGCTGTGTGTATCCTCTGTCTCTTCTTATGAGGACACCAGTCGTTGAACTAGGGCCCACCCTCCTCCAGGAAGAGCTCACCTTTTTTTAAAAACTTATTTTTTTTTTGGAGTATAGTTGCTTTACAATGTTGTGTTAGTTTTTGCTGTATAGCAAAGTGAATCGGCCATATGTTTATATATATATATCCTCTTTTTTTTTTGGCTTTCCTTCCCATGTAGGTTGCCAAAGAGCAGTGGGTAGAGGTCCTTGTGCTATACAGTGAGTTCTCATTATTTGTCTGTTTTATGTGTTTGTGTGTGCTGAGTTGCTTCTGTCATGTCCAACTCTTGCGATCCTATGGACTGTATGTAGCCCATCAGG